GCTCTTAAAGGACCAACTTCCCTGAAATGCTATCCTAGATCCCTTACTTTCACCTATGTTCCTGTCCTTGGGTTATCTCTCTTTCCCACGTTCCATCCCCAATCAGGCTCATCAGTTCCAGCTGCAGAACAGCATCTGCCATCCTTTCTCACTGCTTCCACACTCTGCCCTCTTAATTCACTCCTAGCCTAGACTTTCTGTTTCTACTAAAATTATTACCTTGTAGCAATGAGGTTAGACAACTACAGTGTGAGAATTTGATTTTCTTTTTTCTCACAATTATCTGCTACTTTTAATTCTATGATATTTAATCTTGATACAGGTGTACATAAACGTGTGTGTGTGTGTGTGTGTGTGTGTGTGTGTGTGTTAGCATGTGTCAGCTTGACAGGTGCTGGTGGCTCACACCTTTAATCCTAGCTACTAAGGGGACTAAGATTTGAGAATCCTGGTTCAAAGCCAGTTTGGGCAAACAAATGCAGAAGACTCTTCGCCCCAATTAACCAGCAGAAAGGTAGAAGTGGGGATATGACAAGAGGCAGAGTACCAGCCTTGAATGAAAAAGCCAAGCAGATCACAAAGCCCTGAGATCAAACCTCACAGCCAGCCCAACAAAAAAGTATCTGCTCTCCCTATGAAAGAGATACCGAAATTTTGAGCTAAACTACCAGTTCTCACATCATCATTATTCTGATCCCCAGACTTGAAAATTGAGAATTTTAGTCAATTATAGTGATACATATTTTATCTCTGTGTTATCTCTCATACCTTTCTCCTTTTTCATTTCTACCATCATTTTCTCATTCAAATAGTGCTATCTCTTACATGGAAAATGTTCCACCTTCTCTCTCCATCTCTCTCTTTTTATATGTTTTTTATTGTAAAAATACTGTCCAGAGAGGTTACAGTTACATGAACAATGTAATGAGTACATTTCCTATCAAGTATTATTACCTCCTTCTTTTTTCCTCTCCCTCTCCCCTTTTCTGTCCTTCTCCTTCTCCTTCTCTCTTCAATCCATCTCTTACATGTTGCTAGATTGGTTCCCTGAAACCAGAAGATTGGACAAATATTTTCATTACTTTATTGTTTTATGAGTCTCTGTCCACTGCTGAACTAGTTATTAAATCTCACAGCACTCCACAATACGACTCGCTTCTAACCCCATCCACTTAGCCTCGCACAAATCTTGTCCACATTCACTTGTATTTACCCAAGAGACTTCACAGTCTCTAAACATTCCCTGAGATATCCTGACTCAGTCTCTCTGACTAAACACACTCTCCTTTAATCTGTACTTCACTTAAGAGGCTTTTTATTTTCCAACAGGCATCTCAGTTTATTTCCAAAGCTGCCTACTATCTACAGAATGCAAACCTTGCTCCTTAAAAATGGGATATTAGACCCTCAGTTATCTAGCCTTGATGGGCAATATTAACCTTAATCCAAACACACAGAACTCTGCCTGGTCCCACAATTTGTGTTTGTGTATGTGTGTGTGTGTGTGTATCTGTCTGTATGTCTGTGTGTGTGTCTGTGTCTGTGTGTCTGTGTGTCTGTGTGTGTCTGTGTCTGCACACGTGCACACATGCGCATGTGCACCAATTCCAGGGCTTGAATTTCAGAGCCTCAAGTACTTGCTTGCCTTTCCCTCGTGGCTGGCACTCTACAACAGAGCCACACCTCCACTTCCCAGTTTGTTTGAGGGGTTTTGTTTTGTTTTGGTCGGTTGGTTGGTTGGTTAGTTGGTTTTTGCTTTTGTTTGTTTGTTTTTCCTAGCTAATTGCAAGTAACAGTCTCTCAGATTTGCAAGCCCAGGCTAGCTTTCAACTATGATTCTCAGTTCTCAGACTCTTGATTAGCTAGAATGATAGGATTATATGTGTGAGTCACAGGGGCCCAACGTGGCTTCTTACTTTAAATTTATTAGGTAGGACACTTCCTACTGTGTGGATAAGGAGTCTATAAGGCCAAAGGGATATGCCCACCCACACTGACCACACTAACTACTACTTCTTGACAGCTTTCCAGGTAATAAGACCCTAAAATTCTTTACTAAAGACTCCCATCTTACTCCCAGAGTCTATAGGAGCCTTGTAAGCCTCCCAGATAACCCTGAAAAGAGTAAGCCACACTAATGATATTTTCATACTTAGGGCTTAAGGGTCGCCAAGAATTGACTGCAAAGTATGAGCAGAGCGTGTACTTGCCAGCTGGCATGTCCCAGCCTATGCATGTGCTAGGCTGGAGATAGGTCTCCTCACACCCCTGCATTCCAGCACAAAACTCACAGAATCCCACAAACAGTGTTTTGTCAGGGCATTATAAAGCTCAGAAGGAATAATAGGATATAGTTTATTACTTTGCTGTATTGGTCTGTAACTTTCAAATATCTCCAAATCTATGGATATATCAGCCTGTATTTGTTATTCTTGCCATAGACACTGTGAAAGTCAAAGACAGACTGTCCTGAGAAACCTGCTCTTAAATACACCACACCTTTGCAGTTTGTCAATGTTTATATAATTTTTTTTTCTGGTCCTAGGGCTTGAGATCTGAGCCTGGGTACTGTCACTGAACTTCTTCAAAAGGATAACACTCTACCACTTGAGCTACAGTGACACTTCTGGCTTGTTTTTTTTAGTAGTTTATTGGAGACAGATTTTCCTGCCTAGGCTGGCTTCAAACTGCAATCCTCAGATCTCAGCATCCTGAGTAGCTAGGATTACAGGTGTGAGCCACGGGGGCCCAGCTAACCTATATGATTAAAGAAGAGAAAGGAATGAGAAAAATAATGTAAAATGAGAAAGGAAATTCCCATCTTCTTCATATAATATGAATATGCATTTGAAAAACCCAAGAAAATCAACTAAAAATGATTTTTAAGTGATAGGAAATGATTGTAAAGAACATATTATAAAATTAACTTACAAAACTTAATAGCATTCCTACATGTACATAATACTTAAATGGTTCACAAAATGAAATAGTTTGATTTAAAATAGTGACAAAAAGACCAAAAGTCCTATAAATCAAATAAGTAAACAAGACAAATAAATATGTAGGGCTTATATCGGCAAAATTTAAAGAAATATATAGACAAGAAAATTCTATTGTAAAGATATCAGTTATCCCCACCTTAGCATATTAGTTCAATCCAATAGCATTCCAGTTATACACAGGATTGTTTTTTCTTTAACAACTTCTTAAAATAATGATGAAAGTTTTTACCAGAAAAAATTATGCATGTGAGGATAACAGAAAAATTGTAACCATATATTAAAATGAATTGTACAGCTACTATATTTAAATGTCTGTCCATGGTTCCGGAAAGCATTGCAAAAATATCAGAAATTGGCCCAAGTATCTTAAGGATGCTTTGGTATACCATACAGCTTGAGTTCAAAACTCAGCAAAATTAGCAGTCAAAATGATATTACCAGTAAATTATGTCAGGATATCTGGCTAGCTATTGAAGAAATAAAAGAAGCTGATTACCTCATTCTTTATATCAAAGTTAAACTCTAAGTAAATCAAAGCCTGTAATGTAAAAATGAAATCCAGTAAATGTCTAAAGTGAAATGCGAGGTGATTTAAATAATATTAAATAGAGAAATGTTTATCCAACCATGATACAAAGATGAGACTTCAAAAAGGAAAAGATTTGACATCAAACTATTTGAAACGTATTGTGTAACACAAGGAAAGAAATGTTATGTAAGCTTTCAAGAATAAATGAAAAACCATTTAAATGATGGTAATATGCATATCAAAGAGCTGATTTAATTTGTCACTCTCAAAAGACAAAAATTAATATGCACATTTTGACCTGAATTCTCCTTGCAACAGTTACCCTCTATCTGCAAATATGCTTATGAATGTTAACATTTAAATGTCCATTAAGAGAGAATTCAGTTAAAGATGACACAGTTTGTAAAAGAATGCTATAGGTTTATACAAGTTGCTTTATGTATAAAGAAAACAAGATGCAGAGCTGCATGCATGATCTTGTTCATATAGGGGGAGAAAAGAATGCATTTGCCTATGTGCATGTCCATATTTGTTTTTACTTAGCATTTTAAGGATATGGAAGAAACTGATGACATTGGACATCCTTAAGCAATTATATTGGAGGTGGATAGGAGAAGATTGGAGTTTCCTTTCTTGTTTAATTTATATCGCTCTGTGCTGTTTGAAAATGTTACCAAGTGATTGTATTACATTATAACTGAAAGTATCCAGCATACTACTGAGGGTTATTCAGTGTCACCTGTTTAAAGACTGATGACCTTCCGCTCATACAGACACCACCCTGCCAGCAGGCAAGTTAAATTAGTGCAGTGCTCTTTCCCAACATTGTCCACATTAAATTGCAACTAGCTGTTTACATATATGTCTTTCCTCCCAGCCTGTGAGCTCACTAAAGGAGGATCAAATTTATTCATCTTTGTATCGCTTTCATTTAGTGCTTTCATGTTAGCATGTAACACATTGAGGATGGACAATATATTTTGATAAGTGAAGAAGAATCAAGGACTGTTTCTACCATCCACATTCAGTTTCTCCCAGCCTAGGTCTCAGAGCCCTGCATAAGTCCCTATTCATACTCAGGTTACTGCCCTTTGTAGAGTAATGTTGTGTGGGCTCTCCCATTAGACTCCATGAAAACAAAAATAGTATGGCACTCAATCTCTATCCCAGCACCAAGTGTGCAATTTCGCCTGAGGGGGAGCCCAAAAGTATGTATTTATTGAAGTGAAGTGAAAATGCTTCCACTAGTACTTGAAAATATGGCCTGTCCTAGGAAAATAACAATCTGATTCCACAAAGAAAAGCGCTTAGATTTTTTTTAATCTGCTTAAATAAGCCCAAGGGGTACGGACAACCTTCAAGTATTAGGAATGTAAGGCCAAATAAAGACATTGAGGGTTTGTTCTTTTTAAGTATCTGATCATTTTCAAGCCATCTTCCTTTCTTTTACAACAGGTAAGTGTACAAAAATGGCAAGAGGCAATCGTACCACAGTGACAGAATTTGTCCTTATGGGATTCACAGACCGCCCTGAGCTTCAGCTCCCTCTCTTCGTGGTGTTCCTGGCAATTTATCTCATCACCCTGGTGGGAAATCTTGGTCTGATCCTGCTCATCAAGGCAGACTATCGGCTCCACACCCCCATGTACTATTTCCTCAGCCACCTGGCCTTCATTGATCTATGTTATTCATCATCCATTGGGCCAAAGATGTTACAGAACTTACTGGTGAAGAAAAAAACAATCTCCTTTTCAGGATGTTTTGCTCAGCTGTACTTCTCCAGTGCTTTTGCCACAACCGAATGCTTCCTCTTGGCTACAATGGCCTATGACCGCTACATGGCTATCTGCAACCCTCTGATTTACACAGCTATTATGACAGAGCGGGTCTGCAAAGAGTTAGTGGTAGGGGTCTACACCTATGGCTTCCTGAACTCTGTAATACAGACCATCCTGACTTTCCAGCTGTCTTTCTGCGACTCCAATGTGATCCATCACTTCTACTGTGCGGACCCTCCTCTTCTTGCCCTCTCCTGCTCTGACACCCACAACAAGGAACAGCAGCTCCTTATCTTCTCAGCCGTGAATCTCACTGGCTCCCTCCTTACTGTCCTCATCTCCTATATATGCATCCTCTTTTCTATTATAAAAATCCAGTCTTCTGAAGGCAAGTGCAAAGCATTCTCCACCTGTGCCTCCCACCTCACTGTGGTCATCATCTTCTATGGAACACTGTTTTTCATGTACCTACGGCAACCTAAGGCAGAAAATTCGTGGAAGTACACCAAAGTGGTCTCTGTGTTTTATAGTCTTGTAATTCCCATGCTTAACCCTCTGATCTATAGCCTGAGGAACACAGAAGTAAAGGATACTCTGAAAAGATTACTAGAAAGCAAAGCATCGTAGTGAGTGGGTTATCAGAACATGGCACTACGAAAATGTGGGTGATCCACTACATGATATGACCAATCCAATGGAAATTTAGCAGGCTAATTGCTACCCAATCAAAAAGCAGTCAATCTAATTTGAGGCTTTCAATAACCAAAGTAATTATTATGGGCAGATCAGAATTGATTCGTGAGCTAGAATGTCAACAACTATGTCTTCATGGGTTGAAAATTGAGTGGTGTACTCCCTAGTTGATAACAATATGAGGTCTGAATTCAAAAAGGTTCCCAAAAGCAACATTCTGGGTAAAACTATCCATTAATGGAGATGACTATAAAACCTATTATTACAAACATATTTTCTGTCTTAACAGGCTATGTTAGAATAAATGATTGTTAGTTAAAAGCATTTCTTTATAACACATTGCTTCAGATACTAGTCAAATGTCAAGGCCACCTGACAAAAAGATTCTTTAATTTAAACATGGCTCAAATACTGCATGCCTTTAATGAATATAGAAAAACAGATAGCAAAAGTAAGGATGGAAGTCAGGCCCAGAGAAACAAAGGATCCATGTTTTCCTTTATATGTAGCTAGCTTTAGCTTACAAATTCATATGCAAATACAGTGGCTGACATGTAAGTGTATTAGCTGAAATATAGTAGATTCAAGGGAGATCTCTAATAGTAAAATTCCTTAGAAAGACTAAATTAGAGTTCAGAAAAATAAAATGCCAGGAAGCAGGTACTCAAAAGAAGTAGGGTAGAACCAAGGAAAGAGGGGTAGACAAATTAAGAAGAGGAGAAGGGGATTGCAGACAGGAATCCAAGGTATATACTAAAAAATTAAGATGAGTGAGGAAAAAGATGGGTAGGGGAAGGATCGGTAAGAGTGTTGAAAGGGGAGACATTGTCATTGTTAAATGGCAACTGCTTTGTACAATTACTTAAAGATAATAATTCTAAAATTAAGGATGAAAAGAAAAAGAAAAAGTGATTCCATAAACTATGGGGTTTGTTTAGAAACAAAGGAAGCTTGATTAGAAGAAATAAAGAAAAAGACTCAGGAATTTTCCGAGATCTTAGAAGTAGTCACTTATTCAACCCTCTGGGCTTAATCTTTTGAATTGCTGAAAAACAGAAAATTCAGCCATGATTGTTTTTTGTTTTGTTTTGTTTTGTTTTGTTTTGTGGGGAGGAGGAAGATATCTGTAGAAAAAGAAAGGAAAAGAAGGAAAGTTTCCTGAGCTAACTAGGCCAGGGTATGCCTATTTCTGAGAAATAAAATTGTTGTAACTTGAATGCTCTAGAGGAATAGTTTGTTTAAAAAAAAATAATACTTGCAATGCAGTAGGATTCCCTTCTGTCCACATCCCCTCCACCATCTGTTATTAGAGTTCTTGATTATAGCCATTCTAACTGGGTTGAGGTGGAATCTCAGTGTTGTTTTGATTTGTACTTCTCTGTATGGTATTTTCACAATAAAAAAGATTCTTTAAAAAATAATAACAATATTTGCTCTATTCCTTATTTCTGCTTCCACAGATTTTTATATTCTAGTTTCTTGGAGATAAAGCTCTGTAAGTTATTGTTCATAGTCATATATGAAAAAACTCTTCATTTTGCTTTTTTGTTGTTGTTGGTCATGGGGCTTGAACTCTGGGCCTGGGCACTGTCCCTTAGCTCTTCAGTTCAAAGCGACCACTCTACCACTTGAGCCACAGTGCCACTTCCAGTTTTCTGGTGGTTAATTGGAGATGAGTCTCACTGATTTTCCTGCCCAAGCTGACTTTGAACCATGATCCTCAGATCTCAGTCTCCTGAGTAGCTAGGATTACAGGCATGAGCCACCGGTGCCCAGCTCATTTTGTTTATATTTAGGGAAGAATTTTTGTCAAGATTCTTTGAAGGTAATTCTCAAAGTACTTGAATCCACAACAATTAACTGTTCATTTTACACTATTTTCAAAGGGGATGTATTTTCATTATTGGTTAGGGAAGTAACTTATGAATTGGTTATAGGTAAGTTTAAATTTAATCAAGAAACTAAGGGTGTCCCCAAGTTAATTATTCAGCTAATAAGATGGGAATCTGTTTTACCATTGCTTGTGATTGAGCCTTTCAGAAAAATAAAAGCAGTAAAAATATCTTAAATCGGTCTTTGTTCTGAAAGCCTGTCTGAAGAATCAAGTTATACATTGTATTTCTAAGCAGATGGAGATGAAGTGTTGATTATGATCAAAAAGAAAAATATCAGCAGGATGAAAGAAAAGAGTAAGGAAAGGTATGAAAACAGGAGAGGTTGCACAGATATTGAGCAAGAAGAGATGAGTGAAGTGGATGAAGTGGTACAGTAAACAACACGAGCGTGGGTGTTAGGCACATTTTCCTTCCTTGAGACTAAGCAGATTCTCTGCTCCAGATTGCACCCCAGCACCTACCACAGTTGCTAACACAGTCAACAAACACCTTCCAGCAGTCTGCTGGATTGAACTCTTCTGCATTTATTCCTAACTCCAGGAGATGACTATAGATGGTGCTTGGTTATGGTCCTGCCACTAAGAAGTGATAAAAACAAGAAAATTATTGGAGTTACATGAGAAGACTGTCTTACATATCCTTCAATAAGGCTTAGAAAACATGAAAAGAACACACAATATGATCAGGGAAAAGGATGCATTTGGGAAGTTCATCATTGAGGTGGTTGACTTTGGGTCTGCTGCTGGAACATGACATTCAAGGGATCTTTGCTAGACAAGAAAGAGACTCATGGCAAGAGTGGAGAAAAAAGATGAGCAGGTACTAACATTTGGATGGCAAAACTATATTTTTTTAAAATCAAAGGCCATACTTATTTCTTAAATGTTTTCTTCAAGCTATTCGGTTTAACTTAGAAAGTAAGAAAAGGAAAAAAAAAACAGTAAGTAGATAACACATAATTTAACACCCACCTCTTAGCAAGTGAATTGCATTCATGTTTCCAAAGAGATATTTTGTGTTTCAGTTCTTTGCCAAGAAAACTGGAGTCATGTCATGAAACTTCTCCATAACAGCTGTTGGCTTTGTGCACGTTGTTCATCATGCCATCTGAAAAACAGAGATACCCTATAAAGCAAAGCAGAAAAGTAAGAGAATGTTGCATTCATAAACTGTGAAGCATATAAATCCACATTTTCCTAAAATGTCAAGAAATGAAAAGCAAGGGACTAGGCAAGGGAATAACACTCAATCAGCTACACTTTTCCTATTTTTCTATTTTCTTTTCTTCTATTTTCTTCTTCTAATTCCCCTTCTCATTGAGACTTCTTAACCTTATAAACTTATCTCCCTAACTCTCATCTTATAAATACCCAAAGCAAAGAATCCTCCAATTAACTATTTATATTTTTTAAACTATACAGAGCAGCCGGGTGCCAGTGGCTCACGCCTGTAATCCTAGCGACTCAGGAGGTTGAGATCTGAGGATCACGGTTCAAAGCCAGCTTTGGCAGGAAAGTCTGTGAAACTCTTATCTCCAATTAACCACCAGAAAACTGGAAATGGTGCTGTAGCTCAAGTGGTAGAGCACTCACCTTGAGCTGAAGAGCTCAGGGACAACACCCAGGCCCAGAGTTCAAGCCAAGCCCCACAGTGAAAAAAAAAAATACAGAGCATTATATACATAATAGCTTTAAAATGATCATATGCAAGCCATAAAAGAAACAGCATGATAATTGGGCACTGATGTCTCACACCTGTAATCATAGCTACTTTGGTTGAGATTAGGAAGATTGATATTCAAAACCTATTCCAGGAAGAAAAGACCATTAGATTGTCTCCAAAGTAACCAAGGAAAAAAAACCATGACTGGATGTGTGGCTCAAGTGGAAGAGAGCAAACTGAGAAAGCATGAGGTTCTCAGTTCAAAGCCCCAGTATTTCAGAAAAAAAGGTAAGGAAGCAACATACTTATACACATTTATCCACTTACAAAGTAAAGCTATTGCTATTAACATACATAATTATACTAATTCTTCAACCCTAAGTAAACATTCTTCAGCCCTAAGTAAATATGTTCAGAATATATATTACCAAAATAATGAGATTTTTTACTGAATTTAGAAGTGTAATATTTCATTGAAAGTGAAAATAAAATTAACATATATAAACCAAATGCAAATTCATTTTCCTCATGGTAATCCTCAAACTAAATTTTTACTTGCCACCTTTCACTGCATGGAAAGTTTCATGTAATAACACATTTTAATATGTACTAATATAGCATAATACAATTATATTAATAATATATCACTGAAATACATATATGCATATGTACTTATACTCACTGTACATGAATTTCTGGATTTTTCCATTAGTGTGTATATAAATTTATTTCTCCCCATTTCAAATTTTGTTAGTTTGTTATGCCAAAAGGATTTTTTATTATGTTGATCATAATCAAGATATGAGAAAGTCAATAACTATTTTATTTTCTCCACTTTATTTGAAGCATGAGTATGAAGCATGTGTAGCTCTGGCATTCACTGACAAGAGAGACAGAATAAGAAAGTGTTCATTCAGAGCTCAAAAATAAATATTTCTGTCCCCAATTAAATGGTAACTTCACTAGAGAAAAGGAACTCCTGATGTCAGAATTTGGGGAGTTCAAGTTCCTGGGAAAGTGATAGATGTTTTAGGTCTTTCAAGCAGTTGGATTCTCTGTCCTAGTTTCCAAAAGGTTTTACTCTGTGGCCTGTAAGTAAAATGCCTATTTCCACATGATTACTTTCTGTGCTTGAGTATGTCACTCACACACCTGGGCACATATCATCTGGTAGCATCTGCTTCTTGCTTCAGGTAACATAGTCTAATGATTACTTTGGATATGGTCTAAGGAGAAGGGCTGGAAATGAACCAGTCAGGCTCCAGCTCTCTGGAGCTCACCTAGTTCTCAGGAAACTCCATGACTGCAGGTTTGTCAGACTTAAGCTGGAGAAAGGAAAACTCATTGGCTCATGTTTAATTGTCTTTTCTCTTAGGA